GGCGTGTGGCACCGCATTCAGTTCCGTACACAATATCTCAAGTGTGTGTCTGTGTGTGTCCACCCCTGGACAAAGGGTTTTCCACCGCTCAATCGCAGGGGGATGGAGAGGACACGTGAGGCTCCATCCAACGAAGCTCTTCACGTGCTCCTAGCATATCATCAGGGACGCCTGATGACGTACCTGCGCCGTGACACCACTCCACTCTTCCTTGCTGTGTTTTGATGCCATGGTTGTTGATCACGACACTCTCCCCTCAAAACAGGTTTCCCACCGCAGTTCTCAGCCACCAGAGAGTTACAGTCAGCCGCCTGTGCATTGCAGCCAGCCGCGCGAGTGAAACATTTTTTCAACGATTCAAGTCACCGGACTCTTTCGCCATGCCGTTCCATCACCTTCCTTCCCAACGTGGGAACTGAGTGTAACTGAATACAATTGTCAGAGTGTGTTTCGCTCAGCCGTCCCACTCGGGTGCTGAGTGTGATCCCCGTCATTGGGGCGCTGTCTCATCGTGCAAGCACTAACGGACTTCAACCTTTTTCACAGGAACTCCACTGGAAGTCACCGACACAACCACTGAACTAACTGCCACAACGGCCGCCGGGCCTCACCACGGGAATTGCTATTCTGTAGTTTCTTGCAGTTTTGCATCTTTGCATGACTTTTCCGCATGAAGAGCTCAAGCTAGCTGACCTGAGCTTCCAAATTTAATTCGATATGCATGAACACACCAATACAAATACACATTCCCACCCACCAGCGCTGAAGCTGCTGCCGCCGAGCTAGTGAGGCTCTATGTCCAAAAAGGACACAACCACAATGCCTGCCACCGTTTTTTGAAAAAAGCGCCGACGCCGGCGATCTGTGTGTGTCCACCCCTGGACAAAGGGTTTTCCACCGCTCAATCGCAGGGGGATGGAGAGGATACGTGAGGCTCCATCCAACGAAGCTCTTCACGTGCTCCTAGGATATCATCAGGGACGCCTGATGACGTACCTGCGCCGTGACACTACTCCACTCTTCCTTGCTGTGTTTTGATGCCATGGTTGTTGATCACGATACTCTCCCCTCAAAACAGGTTTCCCACCACAGTTCTCAGTCAGCCGCTTGTGCATTGCAGCCAGCCGCGCGAGTGAAACTTTTTTCAACAATTCAAGTCACCGGACTCTTTCGCCATGCCGTTCCATCACCTTCCTTCCCAACGTGGGAACTGAGTGTAACTGAATACAACTGTCAGAGTGTGTTTTTTTGGGGGGGTGGGTTTTGCCAGTTTTGCCTCTCACTTGATGTATCAGCCGTATGCGGCCGTATGGGTCATGGCTGCTAGTATCCCCGCGTGCATCCCCTGCCGCCGACCCTGATTTTTGCAGCGTTTTGTTTTGGGCACTTGACCTAACAAACAGCGCCCTCGCCTGCGTTTCGAGCCGTATTTGCACTGTAGCGATTCAAACATCGGCAAAAGGAGAAGCGCATTAAATTCCTTGAATTGGGTGGGGGAGAGGCGTTTTTGTTGCAACAAAGGGGAGAATTGTTAAAGAAGGAGGAAAATTCAACCAAAAATCAAGGATCTGGGAGGGAGCAGAATTTGGGCCCTTTGGGGACGGTTTTGGGCTCTTTAGCCTTGGCACGCACCAAGGCACCCAAATTTATGTAAATTTACAGCGTTTTTGATTCCAAAAGAACGCGTTGCAATGCTGCAAAATCTGCATAAATGCCGACGTCTTTGAAGGTGTGTGCGTGTGTGTGTGTGTGCACATAACACTGTAAATACCATGTGTTTTTGCACAGCGATCAAAAAGGTTCGTAAATACCGCGGTTTTGAGCACTTGATAGCCTAAAACCACCGGTGTCTATATGCATTGTTTGCTGCAGAGCCGTGGCCTGGTTTTGAAGCACTTTTTAAGCCTAGAGCAGCTGAAAACGGCGGTAATTATTTACGGTGTTTTCGGCAGAGGCCTCTTCAAGAACAACGGTCTTTATGCAGTTTTGGCAGCGTTGCGGCCAACTTTTCTTCAAGGGGCAAATAGGAAAGCAGTGTATTTCACTGTGTTAACATTTTGTACTTTTTTGCGTGCCATAACCGGTGTTTTGCATTTCAACATCGCACAAAAGCATGAACATATCGCAGGGTCCTTAGGAGTTGGTCGTCGTGGGGGGGCGCAAGCTCCGCTTGAACCATCCTTCCCGCGGGCATCGCCTGTCAATATAGATAGTGGCACGGTTTCCAAAACATGTTTAGTAATTATATACGTTACTTTTGAATTTGTGTATTTTTTTTAATTTGGGGGTGTATAATGGATGACCTGGATGCTGCTTTTTAGAAGATCCTACTTTGGAGCAACCTTCTACTGCATTTGGACTCCTGACCATCACACGACTGCCCCAGAGGGCCCCAGAGTATAGTAGTATAGACAGTAAATAGACAGTATAGATGTTAATTAATGGAGCTTTGAGGTTTTTTGTGTTTTTCCTTGCTGACTACACCACGGCAAGAGGCATGAAACTGCTTGGCATAGAGAACATCCAATGTTCGGCATGGTTTCTTCCAGACTTCTACGTTGCGACTTGGGGAGGACTTCTGCGTTGCACCTGGGAATGGAGATTAGGAATCTCAAGGTTGGCAGCAAACAGCAAGCCAAGCAAGCCACCTAGTTGGAGCTGGTTGTGATTTCTTAGACCCCTACCAACTCGCCCTCCATCCCTACAGGTCAATGACCTCATGTTTTCTGGCGTTGGTCATGCAAAAAAAAGCACTACTTACGGAGATTCCAGGTTTTACTGGATCAGACTGGACGAACGCAGGTCCATCCCCACCCACCCAATCGTTGGACCCAGGTCCGGGCAGACGCTTCCGGCTGCGTGGTAGGCAGCGGGAAGGGAGGTAGCCTCCGGAAAGCACCTGTTTCGGTTGCTGTGAGGGAATCTTCAGGCAAATGAAGCAGAGATGTATGGATGAGCATGGTTATCCGACAGTTTTGATCCCAAACTTGGAGAGAAACATGTCACCCAACCTGGCCCATTAGGGTGTGCATTAGGCTGACCCCCTGGCCCTGGCTGGCTTTCCTTCTTCCAGTCTTTGGGAGGGTCTACCTATTCTAGAACTTGAATACACATGCACCCATGCATATATATATATATAAGCTTATTAAGTCCCTATGGATCCACTGCCACCTTCTCAGGTACGGTAATTGGAGACTATTTATGTAGGCTTTGAGGGTCCAATTACCTTCTGAGAAGGTATGTGGATCCATAGTGAGTATATATATATATATATGTATATTGCATTATTATGTGTTTGTGCCTGACCTTTTTCCATGGGTCCCTGTTACGGGACAAGTTGTAACTGGAAAGCCCTTCAATTCATGAAATGAGCGTCGTCAAGTGGATATCCACGCACGAGTGACGCAGCGAGTGACTCGCGTTCTTGGCCAAGCGAGCGAAGCCTCGCTGGACGGTGAACAGTTGGATGAAGCCTCGCCCTACGTTCGTCCAGTCTGGACCCGGCAAAACACTTGGTTTTTGACCTCCTTAAAGTGTTTTCGGCATGAACAACTCCAGTAAAATAAGACTATGGACCTCTGGAATTGTGATGTCAAATATGAATTGAATAGAACGGACCATGAATTGACATAGTCCATCTCAGGGTCATGTTCGGGCAACTGTGTAGAACACCTTCTTCAGGCCACTGGGATTGTATTCTCCTACGGCCGGACGTCGCGAGGCAACACCATCCTGCGGAACGGAGCTGGAGGTCTCTTGGTGGAGTCCAACCGGAAGAACATCACGACCATCGTGTCTTGTCCGCGAATTCACGGGCGGAAGAGGAGCTCAGGAAGGAGAGCTTGGTGTCCGCTTGCGAGCTGCTTGGTGGGAAGCAATTTGGGGATGGTAGGTAGGTAGGTCGGTATAGGTAGGGCCCGGGCGGTATGGAGGATTAGTCCAACGCGCTTCGCCAGGATATTTATGCCACAGGTGTTCGATTTTTCCCCAGATAGCGTGAGCTTTTGGTGTTCTTGCCTTACTTCAGATATAGGAAGAGCTGCATGTATGCATTTTCGAGATGCCGCTGCTGTGTGCGCTTGGGAGCTTGGGTGCTGGTGCCGCTGCAGGGTGTGTGCGCCTGGGATGCGTGGACGTATGCACTTGAGAACTAGTTTGAGAACTCGAGTGCTGGCGCCCCTGCGTGCGCTGGAGCTTGTGTGCTGGTGCCGCTACAAGGCGCCACTGCCAGCTCGTGTTGGTGCCGCTGCAGCGTGCTGCGCACAATTCTTTTGGCTATTTGGGGGTCTAGCAAGACCCCCGAGGGGTGGTTAATGGACACTCCTTCACAGCTAAGGCGCTGCAAATAGACACCCCTTGGAGGGTCCTGGTATGCTGGTGTAATTGTCTGTATCTTTTGATTTTGTTCTGCATTATGTTCTGCCCCACCGAACGCCGCTTCTCGAAGACGCGCTGCCATCGCGGGCGGCGCGGTCGGCCATCGCGGTACTGACCGTTGGAAGCGTTTTCCAAAAAAATTGATTCCGCGAATGACGAATTACCCTGCTGAGAAGTATACGTAGATCCTGAAAACCATTGGCTGGTAGAGTACAACAGCCTTTCAGGGTGCCATTCTTGGTGTCATATCTTGGCCCCCATGCAGGGGTTTGTGCTATCATGTGCCGTCTACTCTGAAACCACCGTAATGCAGCTTGGATCCTGTTTCGCTCTTTTTTCCGCCTCAGAGAACGGATGCCCTTTGTTGAGGGTGAACGGATCCGGATGACCTTTGTTGAGTGTTTCGTGTTCGGTGACGCTCGTTCCGTGACATTTTGCCGCGGCATTTGGGTAGGCAAAAACACGCGATGTGTCCAAAGATTCACCAGCGCCTGTCGGTGCGGACATTTCATTTGCCACCCTGCATGACCTGTGTGACCTGTGCTGCTTGACCTGTGCTCACCCTTGGTTTTCATACTTGGGGGAGCTTGGCTTCAGATATTTTACTTCTTTGAAGCAACAAGTCCGCACACCTGGACTCTGGACCATCCAATGTGTGTCCTGTTTGGAGATCCCTAAGTGGTGTAGGGTAGCCCAGCCAGGAAGTACAAGTATGCTGTTTCAGTGGCCGGAATTGCACTTCGTTGGGCCAATGGCCTTGGCACACTCTGAGTTCAATTCGTCTCGATTCCCTTGTGGTTACCTTGGTGAAAATGCATGCAGGTCTTGAAAAAGCAAGTCTATAGATCTCTCGTCCTCGGGACTGCCAGTGGTTGATGTTATTCAAGAATTGTTTACAGGTCTTTCTGGAAGGTAAACCTATACGCATCAAGCCAAGAACGGTGAGCTAGACGAGCGTTGAGTTCCCAAGCAGTGACACCGCAGTTCCTCAAACGACATCGGAACTGCGGTGTTCGGGTGATTGTTTAACTTTCCCGAACTGGTTTAATTCCCAAACCTGGTGCACATGTATTTTTGTTCCAGGTTCCTGGGAAAATCCAAGCCATAAGTGCCACACTATTATTATGATGCTCTCAGGAACTTGCCTAGGAGCCACCTGAGAGAAGAAAACCATTTCCCCAACCTGAGATGGAATTTCTGAAAACCAACCCCGCAAATGAATGTTCTTGCCACGCTCAAAAACGTTTGACAACCCCCAAATCAAACATGCCAAACACAATTCATTGCCCATTAAAAAACAGGCAGACCCTTGGGTGGATTTGCGTTCCCCCAAGCATTCTGGCAGATCTTCATGCCAAAACCGTTGTTTTTACACTGACCCACCAATCCGTCCTCCCTGATTGGTCCTGGTTTGACCTGACCTGCGGCATAGGTCAGGAACCGCGTTTGGGCCAACTGCGGGTGCGACCTGCGGCAAAGTCCAGCCAAGGGAGGTGGCGACTGCGCGTCGGGGGCGATGGGACTTGGAGGGCATCGCCTATAGAAGTCCAAAGACTATTTTAGGCACCACCCAAGTAAAGGAAGTTCCTGAACTCGGATCACCTAAACATGGTTGTTTAACTCCCAGGGTATATAGATATGGTGTTCGGATGTTAATTATATGTCTATGAGTGTCTATATATGTCTATATGCATGTATGCTGCATATGTGTATACTTATCATAGCGTATACCCTTCATCGCCGTCGTCGCTCTGGTGATGATGTGATCAACAACGACGTAGCTGCAAGCAAGTTCGGGGAAGGGAATGAGTTTAAATTGCTTCTATTAGGTTGAAAATTATGCTTTTCCTTTTTGGGGATCAGCGATCAGTATTTTTCGGAAGGGAGTCTGGAGTGACCGGAGTGATACTCGTACAGTATTTATATATATATATACCTAGAGGCTGATTGGCCCCAGTTTTGGAGCCAAAACATGGTCTTTTCCTATCAAAACAAAGGTCAAATGAGTTCTAGGTATATATGTTGTGTTCTACTCAGTTGTGTTGTTGGACTGTCCCCTGCTCCTTATGGCGCACCGTGAGGTCCAGACAACCCCTGTGGGGCCAGGCATGCAGTAGTTTTCTCACACCACTGGCATCTCAACCGTCTCAAGCGCTTGGTCTACAGCTCAACCACTTGACTGGGTCGTTCATTTTGCACCAACCACTCGGTATATATATATATAATATAGAATCTAGCGAATCTAGCTGTCTACCTTACCTATCTGGCTATAGTACCCAGCGATAATTGAGAGGCCTGGCCCAACCTGCGAGGTGGCTTAGAGGCTGGTAGCGCCCATTCAGTGGTCTTGGCGAACACGGTGGGGCACCGTGGCTTTTGAAGAAAGGGGTGACGCGGCACCGGACTGACACATGATGACGGGTGAAGCTTCCAAACAAGCGACATGTGATCATCCTTTCGTCCGGCCAAATGGGGGAGTTGGCTAAATCATTTTCAACCCATCACACCCCTCTCCATGGGTTGTTTGAATTCTGATGATTCTGTGCTCGTCTTAGCACCTTACATGCTGAAAGACAATCTTGCTTCTGAAAAGAACGCCTCAGAAGAAGAAGAAGAAGACAGGAAGACAAAATGGGACATGTATGGCAGTTGAGACATCACGCAGACCGCTCCCAGAATGGCAAGAGGAAGGCGTTGGAAGCCGGTGGGCCAAGCAGTTCGCAAGCAGTTCGATTCCGAAAGACCCCGAAAGTACGAAGGGAGGACCTGCTTTCCGGTGGGGAAAGTGACGACGCTTCAAGGCTTGGCACAGCAAGGCTTGGCAAGGCTCAAGTGGGAAGGGGTCCTGCAAGCCCAACATCTGGAGCAAAGGCGGCCCATCTTGGCCCTGTTGAATGCCCGTCCACCAGTGTCGTAGATGAAAATTTGGCTGGCCGACTGCAGGTGCGAAACAGGAAGGGTGACCAGAAAAGAGCATAGCAGAGCTCGCACTGAATGCAATGTCTCAGTTGGGGCAGCCAACAAGATGAAATATGAAATACCCAGACAAATACTCCATGTATGACATATTTGCATTGGAGTTGTAGTGTAGGCAATGCATTTGTTGTTATTGGAGTGTTTGGAATAGGCTCATAGACATCACCACCAACAGACTGAGTCGCCTGAGTCGCACTGACTTCACACGTCGGACCGATGCCGTCTGACGGCCGTTCGACGTCGTCCGTTGTTGGGAGCCGCGGACTAGTCGACACCCGCCCTTCGACGTCTAGACGTCCTAGGAAAGCTGCGGATCATCTGCAGCCCCCATTCATATATAATGTACCCACTTCCAGTCGTTACCTCCTGAGGTTCGGTATAGGGACCCGAACATGGCACCCGGGCCCCCGTCGTACCGAAACGCCACCAATTCGCTACGACTGGAGGCCAAGCACGGAACAGATGGGACATTCTGAAAATACCTCTTTTTTCAAGGGAGCTGGTCACATCAGAAAGTCAAGTCGAGCGAATTCAGCGAATTCGGAAGCTTTTCAGAGTGGAGCAGTGGAAGTTCACTGAACCAGGCCAGTCCAAACCCCTGGGCTCCAACTGTACCTTCTCAGAAGGTGAGGACGGAGACACTGCTATGTAGGTGCCAGGAGGGTCCAAGTACCTACTATAACTATACTTAAAACATGTTAAAGTCCCCACCTTGAAGTAGTGGAAATTCATGGACGAACTCCAGTGTTCGAGTCCATTTGGAACATGATTGAAGTCAAACCCAGACGCTCCGTGAGGAACAGGCTGGTCCCTATATAGGGATTGCTTCGGGTCCGGACCCCTCCGTATAAAGATCAGCTCGATGAACCCGATCGGGCAAGCACCTGGTGTTTTCAAGTTTTTGTTGGAATGGCTTTTCTTTAAGCGTTTCTTTAATAAGCTGTTTTGTTTACCGTCCGGTTTGTGTTGGATGGATCGTGTTTTTTTTTTTTTTTTTTTGTTTCGGTTTTCTTTTCTTCTAAAAGGCGATTC